GTTATTTGTATTAGATTTATCTATCATGTTAAGTTGCCTTATAATATTTTTATACTTTGTTATTCAAAACAGAATTTTTGTAAAAATTGTGTGGAAAAAAAATAGCCTTTTTGCTCCAAACTTACTACTAATATCAGCTAAACCTAACAACCTTATTGCTTTAATTGTATCAGTAGGAATTAAGACAGGAACTAAGCAACTAAACCCTTTTCCAGACTGATATTTCTTCTTCATTCTACATTCTAATTGATATCCAGATAATGCATTTTTTATTCTTTGTTCATTTAGTCTTACATAGTTCAAGGCTTTTTCATGTTCTTTACTTTTAAGCCTCACATTAGAGTATATCTAAATCCAGATTTACTGTGATTTTACAAAGTATACTAAGATGTTACTCTTGCATATATCTTGCATATAAATCAAGGTCTTCCCCAAAGCTACTATCAGGGAGAATCTCACATTCATTAGTTGTCCAGGAGTACAGCTCGTTATAAAACTCGTTGAATTCTTCAGGAAAGAATTATTTTAATTTATTAAGGTCTACTACCATTAACTTTTTTCAATGTAACTTTGCCACTTAGATAAGCTAAACTATTTACTTGTCGTACAGTACCTATATGTTTGGACAGGGAAAATGTATGACAGACCAAACAATTAATATTGGTGATTGAGTGTATGTAGCCTTTTTTATCAATTTTTATACACAAAAAGAAACAAGTTACTAATTGAAAAGTGAACCTTCTTTTCTTTTGGGTTATTTTTACCCTTGGTTTTTGAAGAAATACAAAATTTTTGTAATGTTTTGGACTCCAAGCTTTAAAATCAAAACATTCAGTTGCATTTACAATTTCTTTCACCGTAAACTTTTGTATTCTGGAGCTGTTAATAATAAGCTCAGTGAGTTGATGCATGTGATAAAGACGGTCATGTGCTTTTAAAACACTCTAAATTATACCAAGTTCCCTATGACAAAGGAGGAAACTATGCCCTCTCATTGGGAAGAACTGTTCAACTTTATCAAACCTACCACTTTTAGTTAAGTATAAACAAAAACGTGATAAGGTCTGATTTTTATTTTGTCCACTACAGTTGTCACAAAACAAACGTAATGTATTATACTGTGATGGAACTGAGATCAAATAATCAATTAAAAAAGTCGCAACTTCATTAGGCCCATTTCTCCCTTGACCTTCATGGTATATATATACCTGACTTTTTTATTTTTTAATGTTAATGTTTTTAATGTTATGTTTGAAAAAAATTGACTGATAGCTGTCTCATATAATAAAGTTGTTGGACAGATATTTTTGGCAAGCTTATTGTCTTCATATAGTCAAATGGCGATGATAGAATGTGCTCTTCTTTTAAGCTATTTTTGGATGTTTTATGTTTTAAAGCATTGTAAAATTTATTACTCTTGCGCTTATGAACATCTAAATCACTCTGCGCTGCCCTTCAAGCTACATAATTGAGATGTAGTGATTTTAATCTTAGATTTAAATTCTTCACACGTGCAACAAGTTTCCAATTGTGGGCGCCCAAACCGTAAGTTAAAATTGTTTTAAAAATGATTCCAGTAAAAGACTTGCTCACTTTTAAATTTGGATTTTTTTCACAAAAATGTTTCCACATTGTTTTTACATTTAAACTTGCATTGAGGTAATATACTTTTTTCCTTGAGTAATGTGATTCCTTAAGTGGAAGTAATTTTATTTACTAACAATGTCATGAACATTCTGAAAAAGACAATTAGTAATACCTTTTTGTCTTTTATCCTCAGGGGTTATTCCATTTACCTTAAGGTTCCTTATTCTCCGTATTTATTTTTCACTAATACTAAAGACCAATAAAAGTGCACTGCAATATATTTCTGCGTACATTGCCTAAAATCACATGATAGGAGAAGCTATTTGGCTGCTTCAGCTTTTCAAGATCCTTTAAATGTGACAGTCTTCTTTTAACTTTAGTGATACCTATTAATCCTTGAATATAAAAATTTTGTCAGTCTTTTTAATAAAAAAATTACAAAAAATTAATACAAGCTAGAAAATGCTTTTACTAAAATGCACAGCATTATTCATAATCTTAAACAGAGAACAGCATTGCAAACAAAGTTGTGGGGAAATAAGCCAAATCATATTAAGAGTTTTTGACTTTTTAGTGCTTTTATCTTTGTTATAATTTCAATTACTATATAGACATATGCTTACTATAACAAAATTTAACTATTCAGTGTATGTCAACTATTTGAAAAAAAAATCATAATAAACCTTCGCCAACTGCATATTAAACTACTATGCAAGAAAGATTTAATTTGAAAAATCTGTAAATTATTTACTTATATAACTGGTAAACCCATAATTTTAGTACTATAGCTGGTTTAGACTTAGCGTTAGGTTTTTAGGGTTAAAATATTTTGAAGTATGCTATTTTATAAACTTTAGACATATCAACATAAAATACATCTTAATTATTTTAAAATCATGCTATCATGAAATAAGATTAATGTTTCAAAATTTTATTGTATATTACTTTTTATCATTTTAGTGTAATTTCATGTAAACATGAGACTTTTGTAAACATTAAATTTATGATAAGTTGAAAATGATATAAATACACTATATGTAAATGTATATATATATATATATATATATATATATATATATATATATATATATATATATATATATATATATATATATATATATATATATATATATATATATATATATATATATATATTTATCTATATATATATATATATATCTATATATATATCTATATATATATATATATATATATATATATATATATATATATATATATATATATATATATATATATATATATATATATATATATATATATATATATATATATATATATATATATATATATATATATATATATATATATATATATATATTTATATATATATATATATATATATATATATATATATATATATATATATATAGATATATATATATATATATATATATATATATATATATATATATATATATATATATATATATATATATATATATATATATATATATATATATATATATATATAGATAGATATATATATATATATATGTATATTGGATGTTTAAAACTTACCTGCAAGTAAACATAGGGTACTTTGGTGGAACTTCATTTCCCTTATGATTTATGTATGGCTGTCCCATTAAACATGCTTGTTTTATTTTGTTATGTTTGTACTCACAAGGATAACTTTTTCTCTTTTTAGGACTTGGAATAACGAGGTTCATTAAAATCTTATATTAACAACAAAACTATAAATACGAAATAATATTAACATTTTTCACGTATTGCGCCTAAAAATACGAATCAGCTGTAAAGTGATTTTTTTAAAAAGGGCATATTTGAAGCAAATTTGCCTTTTAAAAAAAAAATCGAAAAAATCGATCTTTTTATTTGAGTAAGAAGATAAAATTTAAACATGTTTTTAACATAAACTGATGAAGCTATCATAGAAGAACACAAAACACACAAATAGTGAATTTCAAAAAAGCGTCAAATCAGTTCTTTTAAAAACACTGATTCAATTAAAGTTTGGAAACAAAGTTTAAATTTAACCAGATATTTTAAAACATGAAATAACGCTTAACAACATAAAGACTATATATAAAACTATATACTTTAAAATAAAAAAATATGTTTATGAATCAGACTTTTTTAATAGGTATAAACTCAAAAGAACTCAAAGATAATAACAATTGACATGATAACTTTTTTCCGCCTAAATTTAAATATAAGAAAACTCCAACTTTGAGAAAATTTAAAATTTTTCAAATTCTTAATGAAAACTTGGCGACACTTAAATGCTAGTTCAAAATGAATCATGGTTGTCCTTTTTAAATGATATGCAATTGTTTTCTTAGACAAAATAAAACTTCAATTGTTGAATATGTAATCAAAGACATAAGGAAGAACTTTGAAAGCCAAAGCTGTGATAAGTCATTTAAACTTCATTTTATGGGTTCTTTTCTAATTTTTCCTGAAAACATCTCTGATGTGTTTGATGAAATGGTTAATGATTTAAAAAGAAACGATTCAAACAGAAAGTTTTTGTTTTTTTGTTTGTTTGTTTGTATACAAACAAACAAACAAGATAAGATCTTCTGGGAGCATCTAAAATAACTAAGTAAAAAAATAACTAAGTAAGATCTTCTGGGAGCATCTAAAATAACTGTAGTTATTTTAGATGCTCCCAGAAGATCTTACGGTCTTATCATAGAGCACCACGGGAGAGCATTTAACAAGAAGTTCACACCTCCTTCCGTACCAATGTCTCTTGTTGGGCTAAAGCTGGCGTCAAAGCTGGAAACTCATGGTTCTGAGCCAGAACTTCGAAAGCCAGAAAAAAAAAGAAGAGAAACGGCAACTAAATAAACTTTATATGTTAACCATTAAAGCAAAAACAAAATACAAACTAAATACAAATAAATCATCTTTGTAAAAAAAATTTTTAAGGGTTTTTAAAATTATAATTTGTATGCCAAGTTGCATTTTTCTTTTACCTTAAAATTATTTACTCCATGTTGTCTAAAATATTTTACGAAACCTATTCATTCATTAAATCAGTTTATTGGATTTTTAAAGCATTAATAAAGCAATATATTTTATATCCAAGGATAGCAAACTTTAAAATGTTAAAACATTTGTATTGCTTTAAATTCAAATTCACAAACATTTTAGGAGTTATTAATTTAAACAACTATGCCCATCATTATATTCATATGCAATCTTTAAATAACATTTTTTTAATATTTAGAAAAAAATATTAATAGAACACTTTATTATAATTGTCATTTTTATAATTTTTCTTTTAAGAACCAGTTTTAAAATTTAAACAAAAACTTTTTTGTAAAATTTATAAAAAAAAAAAATGTTAGTTTTTTAAAGTGACACGATGGTTGCTTAAAAAAGTTACAGCACAATAAAATGTAAACAGCAAAAGTTTATTTTGTTGTTATAGATGAACCAAGTGATGATGTCAATGATTGCAATTAAATATTTGTATGGGGCAGTCAGTAAGTTGTTGTTATTTTTTATTGAGAATATATATATATATATATATATATATATATATATATATATATATATATACAAAAACACTTATAATTAAAAAAAACTTTCTAGCCATTATTATTGCGGTTTTTTTAAAAAAGAATAAAATTTAATGTACTTCCGCATTAATTTAATTGCATTGACAATAAATATATATATATATATATATATATATATATATATATATATATATATATATATATATATATATATATATATATATATATATATATATATATATATATATATATATACAAAAAATGCTTTGATGTTTAGTATTATTATGTTTTAGTATTGTATTCTAAATACGAAGAATTCGAGCTGAAAAAAAATAATTGTATTACAACATTCAGCGTCTTTCCCAAAGAATATGAAATAACCTTTGAAGTTTTTTTAAGCTCGTTTAGTGATGGAAACGAATATTGTCATTGTGCAAATTTATTTCGTTTTACCAACGGTAATGATGATCATAATAGTTACGGAAATAGACTTTTGGCTGTATGGTATTTTGATACTAAAGAATTACAATATCATTCATCTATTAATGGTTACACACACCAAGCTAAACCTGCTCCTTACAGCACGGGGTGGCAAAAGTTTAATATAAGTCAATTATTATTTCGTGGAGCCTATATTTCCACTCTTCAAGTTAATAATGTTACAATATCTTCAGTTATAAATAATGATGCTAGAGAATTTTTCAATGTGAATTTGTTTTTTTCTGATCCGTATTATTTAACGCAACCTGGCTACGCAAAAAATATTTTAGTTACAAGAGGATGTTCAGGTGAGAATTTTTTTTATATTAGTATACAGTCTCTTAACCAAGTTTTTTTTTTTTTGAATCTTCAAATTAACATTTTTGATTTAATTACAATATTTGCCTTCTTTTTTTTAAATACTAACATTTGCTTGCCAATGTAAGACGTAAATATATAAATTAGTTATTATAAATATTTAACGGAATAATTATAATATAGAATATTGCATTGCAGAGTTAGGTTATAACTCTTCATTTTGTTAACGAGATTAAAAATTCATTACAGTTAACAAAAAAATTGAAATTTATTTTGAGTTACTCAAAAAGTAAGTTATTAGATTCATAACGTAAGTGCTATTTAAAGATTCAAAAACCTTGCTTATGATAGGAAAAAGAACAATTGAGCGATAGTTAGAGGAGTCAAATTGCCTATCAAGTTTTTTGAAAAGATAACATATGCAACTTTCCAACTGGCTGGAAAACAAGACACCATTTGACACTTGTTAAATTTTATTAAAACTATAGATAGCAGCTCCGCAGAACATTTCTGCATAACTATGGCGGGTTTACTTTCCTGACCAGTAGCTATAAAAGAGTCTAAGTGGAAAATCAATTTAGTTACAGAAGCAAGAATGATACGAATATCAAGTATTAGATGAACCTATTTGTCGGCTATATCATGTGAAACGCAACTAGTCGAACTATAAAATGATATCGATAAAAATTTCTTGGCAAACAATTAGACTTTCTATTTAGATGAGTTGATAAAATCTAAATCATACAAAAGAGGTGCAATAACAGATTAACCCATATTATTAATAACGTTTAAGTTTTACCAGAAATCAAAAGAGCCTACTTTTTGAAAGGAAATGCGAGATTTCATAACCTGAGAATAGCGGGTTTCGGCGTTTGAAAAAATTTCCCAAAAGTTTGTAGAACAGAAGTCTGGAAAAATGTTGTGTTATTAGGTTTGGAAAAAACATTTTTTAATTGGAAATTGATGCAGCACAATGTGACAAAAACCCAATAGAAGAGTAAGGTGCTACTTGAAATTGTTGAGAGGGAACAAAAGATTTCATAAAAAGCACATTGATTACGAAAAAGAAGACTTCTCCCCATAAGCCATTACATAGAAAATCATCGTAAAAGTAATCTCTAAAGTATTAGTTAAGCTATGATGAAAGGAAGAACTTAATAATTAAGAAGAATAAAATAATAATTTTAGAGAGATCAAACCGTAATCGAATGATATGATATTTTTCAGTTAAACAAAGGTTTAATGACTTTCTTCCAGGTTTAAAAGGTTCCGCCCTATCAATAATACCTCGGTAATGACAACAGAATGTCTTTGGGGTATTGGCTGGTTTAAATGGGATGTATTGGGTTATTGAATAGGTATTGATTACAGAATGGAACGTCTTGCAATGAATACTGCGTTAATTACAATGAAAGATAACAAATATGATTTTGCCAACAATTCTAAATATCAATTAATTAGTTCCTCTAAATCCATCTAAATCAGATAATGGAAAGGTTTAAATTTTTACTAGAAAACATCAACAATAAACTGAGAAAAGCCACCCTTTTAAATCAAACGCATAATACGGACGACGTAATAAATTGGTTCCACAATATTAAAGACAAGCATAACTGTTTTTTCATCCAATTTGTTATCGAAGAGTTATCGTTTTATCTATAAAGAACTACTTCAAATTTCACTTATTCACGCCAAAATATTTACAAAAATTTCAAAAAACATTAAATATCATTAATCAATCAAGAAAATCATTACTGTTTTACTGAGCACAATAGTATCACAATAATAATAAAAAACTTGATGATCCTAATTTTGACGTAACTATGGGAAGTTTTGATGAGGCTAAAGTATGTGAGTCTGCCTCATTATTTTACAAACTTTAAGTCAAGAAAATGGATTGCAAACCATTGGATTATATAGAAATGATGGCCTTTGTTGTTTTCATGGAATTAATGGACCACAATCCGAGGAATTAAGAAAAAAATTGTTCATCTTTTTAAGGAAATTTTTTTTATAAAACTTACTATAAAATCCAACATATAAATTTTTTTGAAGTTACCTTCAAACTGTTAGAAAATAATTTCTAGCCAAACAGAAAACCAAGTGAACAACCATTATACATCAACGTAAATTCTAATCACCGCCCATTCCCCATGTGTTGTTAAATCTATATCAACTAAGATATCTAACCGTATTAGCAATATTTCATCTATCAAGGAAGTTTTTAATAAAGCAACATTGTTTTATAACAATGTTGTCGCAAAAAATTTTATAAATCTAATTGTAAAACATTCTCTAAAAACGTATAAGTTTCGCAAAATTTTTAATAGGAATAATTTAAAAGTCAGTTTAATTTAAAAGTTCCAAACGTTATTATTATTATCAACTAGCTGATGTCGGCCCTGTAAAAATACGGGTCTTTGTAGATCTATTCCAAACCGAACTTTTCTATACTTTTTCCTTATATATCCTTGCCTTCCGGATCCGTAAAATACAGGTCTTTACCAATTTACATATCTATTTCTAATTAAAAATTTCTGAACCTATTCTTTACTTACTTTAATAATTTTATGTAAAATAATTTGTTCTGAAAAAAAATTTAAGATCAAAAAACTTAACATGCCACCTTTTCTGCATACGTAGAGCTTATAAGAGGCTAATAATTAGATTTGTTTTTCTGCTAAATGCATTTTATTCATAGCGCTGTGGTTAAATGCGCTTGTTTTGGAGGGTTTAAGACCTCCTCTTAGTGAATTAAATTTTGAAATTTTTTCAATCTTGCTTATATATTCATAGCAAAAAAATAAAAATATAGAAAAAAAGATGTTTTAAAAATTTAAATAATTTTTCATGTTTTCTCATTTTTTAGATATATTATACGCCATATAATATATCAATATATTTTATGGAAAAATATAAATAGATATATATATATATATATTTCCATAAAATGCTTGCAAAATCAACACAAAAACGTTTACATTAACATAAATTTGTACGTAACGCTATACAAATGAAATTAAGAAGATCTAAGAGCACTATACGAAAGTCATAAAAAGAATAAATTAAAAGAATAATATTAAACGCTTAAATCTAAAAATTTAACCAAAATGATTTTCGACATTGACATCAGTTTGTGGCAAAATAAATCTTTATTCAGCGTCAAGTTTCGTTTCGCATTTATATTACATTTTTTCATTAATTTTTATTATGTTGCATACAAATGCATTAAAATATATAAAACTAATACATATATATTGTTTTCACAGATTTGAGATTGAGATTGTTTTATTACAATAGTAATAAATAATCAGTTTTGGGGCCATCTATAGAGGACGTCATCAATTTATAGCCAATTCTTAACCCTCCCCCCCTGTGTTATCGATTGTCCTTTACCCTATACCCTCTTAAAAAGGACATCTAAAAACCTGCCTCTCTTTCAATTTAAATCCCCCGAAAAAAATTATTTCATCTCGCAATGATGTTTGAATCTGCTGCTTCACCTTTAAAATAAAAATAAAAATATTTCCATACATTATCTTCTTAAAAACAAACATTTACATTGTTTTTCATGTAAATTAATTTAAAATAAAAAATCTATAAAATGACGTCCTTTTCTGACAAACTCATCCCCTCCCTTTGTTCTTTTTTGTCATATTTATCTCGGACCCCTCTCTCTTCCTATTTAGATGACGTCGTGTATGTATGGCCCCTTTTTTTTATTAGAATATATCCCATAAAAATGTATTTTTTATATCTATTATATATTTTTTATATATTTTACCACCTTAATAGATAGAGTTTTTATAGAAAATTTAAATAAAATCTTATTAAAAATCAAACGACATAACTTTAGAAATCAGAAATTATTGAGAGAGGAGAAAATCTAAAGTTTAATTTTAAATTTTTAGCTCGGAAGTGACAATATGTTTTTTTTTTTAATCTTGTAATTTTTTTAAATATAATAACATAATTACAAAAAATCAAAACAAAACAGCTTGACCAAAAAAATATATGTAATTATTAGAAAAGTTTACTTATATTACGTACGATTCTGAATAAAACGTTATATAATTGATTTTGTACACTTTACAAACAATATATATAGACAAATAGCATACATGTTTATATATACAATGTTTATATAGCAGTGGTTAAACGCAGCAAAGTTTTTAAAAAAAATTAGTTTATAATAAAACTAAAAAATAATTTATATAACGTTTCTTTGCAAAAACCAACGTACTATAATAAAATTTTTGAGTGATATTTATTGTAAATATCACTCAAAAATAAAAATTGAACTACAAAATCTACAGTATTGGACAAAACAAGTGCAACCAAATAAGTTCAGTTTTGTTTCTTTAAATAAAAGTGCTGCATTTTTTCAATTTAGTGAAATAGATATGTAACTGTTAAAGACAACTTTTTTCAAGTTATATTCATCACAATGTTCATTATTTGTACACGAAAAAAAATAAATTAATCAGAAGTAATAAAAAAAGTTGATTTCTTTCTCTACAAAACAAGTGCAACTCCACAAAATGTTGGCAAAGCTGTATTTTGATATCAATATTTCGTGGCGAGTCCTTTGTTGTTGATTTTTGAATTTGTTCAAATAGTTGATTCTTATTACGAACACCTTCACGATTAATTCTGCAGTTGACGATCTCCCACAGGTTCTCGATATAGTTCTCCGGGTTGAGCTCCGAAGGTTGAGGTGGCCAATCCATCACCGATAGGTGGTTGTCTTGAAACCACTGCTTGACTACTTTTGCAGTGTGTTTCAGATCGTTATCTTGTTGAAAAACCCTTTTTATTGGCATATTCCATTCTGCATGAGGTAACATAACATCTTTCACGAAATTTTTATACATAAAACAGTCCATTATTCCATCGATTTGATGTATTAGACTTAGACCGTTAGCAGAAAAACACCTCTAGACCATTACATTGCCTCCACCATGCTTCACGGTCTTCACGGCGTTTTCCG